TAAGTTTTCCCCTTTAGGCTAAAGTTTTATTATGTGCCATTTTATTCTGCTTGGGTAATAAATATACCAGTTAAAAATGATGACGCCAAGTGCTTTTTCTAATATAAGCAAGTGGCTTCAATAAGTTTTTAAATATAGCAGCAGTAGAGTAATATTTCTTGAGTGATGAAAGGATTATAGAAAATCATGACCGACAGGTAAATTTATGTTTGACTTTAAAAATATTGCTGTGAATTCTAGAGCTTTAATATCTGAGGCTTTCTTTGGATGTTATATGTATAATGCCCCAAACTTCCATTATTTCATATTATTTATCTCCATTTACCTTAAAGGCCATGTTTGTTTTTATTTTTAATAGTTTGTTCTTAGCATATTATTGCCATTTTAATTAATTCAATCATGCTATGATAGTGTCAGCTTAGCTCTGAAAAATTCATGGGTTATCTCCATGCGCTCACAAAGCATTAGTAAACTGCTCCACCTTCCCAGCCCCCGCAGCTGGGGTGACACGTCCCCTTGGTCAGAACACCATGGCTGTGCTAGGTGGGCCCCCAACGTGGGAACGAGTAGAAAAAAGTGTAAGGCTGGTCTCCTCTCCTGACACTTGTCCCAGGGTAGTCAGTCCCCTCCTGTTTTTACTTTGGTTCAGAGTGATTTTAATTGTTTTTAACATTTTTGTACTAAAGTTGAACACATTACCTTGGTTCCGGCAGGCTCAGCCCTTCCCTTTCTCACTGAGGTGTTCAGAAAACTCAGATGACAGCAGGGCTGTAAGAGGAGGAGTAGGTCCAGACAATGCTGAGTAGGTGATCACAGAGGCCCTTTTTTAACTTAAAATTTCTCCACCTTTTTATTTTGAAAATTTTTGAACATATATAAAAGTTGAAATAATGGTATACCATTTACCCGCCACCTAAATCCAACCGTTATTAACATTTTGCCATACTAGCTTTATGAGGACACTTTACTCCTAAATATTTCAGTATATATCCTAAAAATAAGGACATTTTTCTAATTAAACTCAATCCCATTATCACACTTTAAAAATGTAATTTGATAGTATCATGTAAGTTCATATTCAGATATTTCAAATTGTCTCAAAAATGATCTTTTACAGTTTTTTTGGTTTTGAGCCAGGATTCATTCAAGGTTCATAGTCTGTATTTGTCTCTTTAGTCTGGAAGATCCTTTCCTGCACCTCTATGGCTTTTCTTCCACATGAGGTGACTTTCTGAAGAATCTAAGTCATTTGGCTCCCATTCTTGATCTGTCTGTATCCTTGACGTGTTCCGTTTATTTTCTGCATTTCCTTTGAACTGGAAGTCTATAGGTGTGACTAACTTCAGGTTAAATGTTCTGGGAATATTTCACAGGTGATCTTGTAGATCTTATACTGTATCACATTAGAAGATACATAATTCTAGATTGTCTCAACACTGATGATAATCATTTGGTCAAGGTGGTGACTACCTGATCTTTCCATTGTAAAGGTCATTTTTTCCCTCTTAGTAATTAGTAATCTTTAGGGTAATATTTTGGCACCAAAGGAATGTTCTTTTTCCTGACAGCCTGACAGAAAATTCAGTGGCTTTTGTATCAACTGATGATTCTTAATGGAATCATTTATTACGTTGACGTGCAAAATCATGACTTAAAAATTTTTAATTCTCTAATTTTCTTCATTTATTAGTTAATATTCTTTTATTAAGAAAAGATTGTTCTCCCTTTCTTATTCCCAAAGTGCCTCCATTTCCCCCCAAATATCACTGTCTTCAATATTCAGTGTATTACAGTCAGTTAGTCATTTTTGATGGCCATATGGTGAGTCGGTAGCCACTGCAAGCTTGTTTCTGTGTCTTTGAGACATGACATTAGTCTTGGAGTTCTTCCTTGCTTCAGGTACAACGTGACCCAGGCTTGCCTTGTACTTGTCCTGTTCCAAACCTGGAGTAGCAGCCACTTCGCCAAGGAGCCCTGCCTATTCCCTTTAGGAGGAATGGAATCTGCACTCCATTTGCTGCTAGGCTGTATTTCAGTGGACAGAGCTGGGAAATAACGTTTTGAAAAGTTCATGAATTCAAATTGATGTTTACAATTAAACTTTAGCATTATAATTTTTCTTTTTAATTTTATATTTGCCTCTCTTTTCTCTTACAGTGAAAATATTGGTTCTGAGTAACACTGATGTATTTGCTTCTATGTTTTATTATGCAGCTTATGCTCAACACTGCAATTCCAGTATTACTAACGGTAAACATACTGAATAAAATTTAAGATTTCTTCGCCGTTCTCTTTGTCTTCAGAGTAATAGCCCACTAAGAATATATAGTCAGAGTACAGTGTTCAAAAGTTAATGGCAGGGGAAAGGGTATAGCTCAGTAGTAGAGTGCGTGCGTAGTACGCACAAGGTCCTGGGTTCAACCCCCAGTACCTCCATTAAATAAACAAACCAACCTAATTTACCCCGCCCCTCCAAAAAAGTTAACAGAAATTATTCCTTTCTCTACATGGTTATGTTACCAATGTGATATAATTAGTTTCATTTGTTTTTGTTTGTGTTCAATTTTATATTTAATTAAAGCTTTTTATTATTGAATATGCAAAGCATTTACGTGGCTCAAAGTTAAAACCATATAAAAAGTATACTCAGATTAGCCAAGCCTCATGCCTATCCCTCCACTCCATTCCTAACCACCTCCTGTAGGTAATTATGTTCATTGGTCTCTATTCATCTTTCCTGCATTTCTTTTTTAAAAACAAATGATTATGAATATTGCTGTATTTACCGTGTTGCTTTCACTATGTGGAGTGTGTTCTTTGCTTTTAAAATTTCTTTTTATGTTTAGAAAGGTTTGTTACGTTATAGTGGTTACATTTATACTGGTAAAATTTTACATAATGCTTTTAAGAGTCCCCTTTTTGCTTGTCTAAGCTTCTACTATTCAGTTTGTCATTTTTACACAATATTCTTTGTCATTTAATTTCCTTTGTAATTACTAATGAACTTATTCTACTCCTTTCTCCCATCTTCTCATATTTTTAGTTGCCATATTTCTATTTGATTAGAATGTATAATATTCACATACTGTTTTTTCACCCTAGACCCTGCATTATGTTATACAATTAAATATATTTTAAGTACATTTAATACTCTTCATCAGTACTTTAGCTGAAGGCTCCCCAATCAACTCTTGGCCGGATGAAGCTCCTCCGGTACAGGCTCAAGGAGGGCTTGGCGTGTGAGTACAACGTTCCTCAAGTCCTAGCCTGTTTAAATTTTTTTTCTAGAGCCTAGATACTTTAAGTGCAGCTTGACTATAAAGTCCTTGGCTCCCACTCTCCTTCCTTGATTTTTTTTTTTTGAAAATTTCGCTCCGTTGTGTTGCTTGGGGTTATTGTCAAGAAGTCCGGCACCACTTGTTTTTTTTTCCCCTTTGGAAAAAATGTTCACTTTGTTGGTTTTTGCCTGGAGCCCCAGATAATTTTTTTTCATGTTATTTTTCTCTCTGATCCTTTTTTTCCCCCCATAGCTGGTTTATTCCTCTCCTCCATTTTTCTTACTTTCATTTGTGTCTGTTCTTTCTTAGGAACTCTGTAATTTGTTTTCCTTTTTTAGATGATCTTATTTTTTCAGTATATTTCTTGAGTTTGATCAGTTGTCAACTCATATCTTCCTATTGCATTTTTAATTGTCCAACTTTCACCTCTGCAATTGCTTATTTAATGTTCTTTGATTCATTCTGGAGTGCTGTGCATAGTTTTCCTCTGCTTCATATTTTCTGTAGGGTAGTACTTTCTGTTAATTGAAAAGTTTTCATTTTATAGGAGCCTTTCCTGGGGTTTTGCTGGCTTTTTTCTATTCCTGATAAAATGTGTAGGATTTTCTTGGATCAGCAAGAACAAGCAGTTCTATGGAAGGGAGCAGTGAAGGGCAGCAGGTGACTGTTTCACAGATAAGGAAGGCCCTCTGCTGTTCATATTGTAAAGTGCAGTTTCTTTAATAAACGGCACATTTAAGGGGTTGGATCCTGTGCTACAACCTTGTATCTTTAGGAATATTTAGCTTCAGCTACTTGCCCTTCTCTCCGAGGGATTCGTCTCCCTTCCAAGGTGCCTAATGAAGCGTTCTCATGGACTTTCCAAATACTGGTTCTTGCCTGTTTTCAAGACTGAATCTTCGCCTTCTTGTTGATTTTGGGAACTCCCATTATTCTTCCAAATCATTCCCTTTTGCTTATGTTAGCAGATGCTAGTTTCTGTTAACTGCAACCAAAGGACCCTAACTGATACATCAACCTCTTAATGTAAAGTTTATGAAACTTCACGATGGCAGGTCACATAAAAAGCCACAAGCATACGCACAACACACCTGTTAGAACAAGCCTCATCGCTCGTGTTTACTATCCCAGCTCTTCTAGCACAAAGTCCTGGGGTATTGCGGACATTCAATATGCGTTAAGTTTCTTATTCCGTTTTTTCCAACAGCACTTACCACAACCTGCAATCATCTTCCTTTTGTGTTTGGTTTATAACTATGTCCCCCAGTATAATCAAGCTCTATGCAGATAAATACCATGTTATTTATTGATGTACCTCCAGTGTCTAGTAAAACACTGACACTTATAGGTACTCAGTAAACATTTTTTGAATGACTGAACAATAATCAGTTCTTAAGGATGATAAAACTGGTGCGGCTGAAGTATGATTTTGAAAAAGTCAGAGTAACCACACAGTAAGTGATCTTACCAGCCTCTACATCCATCTAAAATAAGCTCCCGGGATTTACTTATGAAATTCACCTCATCTTACTTTCTCTAAAGTGCTTCAAGTCAGAGTTCAAGTAAATGTTTTCTGTAAGAATATTTTTAAACACCTGATGAGTTTACTTACTGATGGGAAAACATGATGTATCAGGCTAAAATGCCTTTCTTTCTCCCTTCCATGGAAATTGGTTTGTCTTCTATATCTAGTCAGTTATGGAAATAGAAAATTCAATCAAATTTATTTTTTAACATTGTATTTTGAAATAATTTCAAATTTACAGAGAAGCTGCCATAATAGTACAAAGAATACATATTCCTTTTACCCTGTATATTCGTTACCTATAGCTGTATACCAAATTACCCCAAAGCTTAGTGGCTTAAAACAAGGACTCTTTATCTTACAGTTTCCGAGAGTCAGGAAACCAGGAGTGGTTAAGCTGAGCAGTCCTCGCTCAGGGTGTCCTGAAGTTGCAGTCAGGATGTTGACAGGGGTTGCTGTCGGCCACAGGCTTGAGCAGGACTAGAGGACTGCTTCCAAGACGACTCACTCACATTTCTGTTGGTAGAAAGCCTCAATTTCTGGACACCAGGACCTCCCTGCAAGCTGCCTCAGTGTCCTCACGACATGGCGGCTGGTTTCCACTAGACGTGGGCCCTGAGTGAATGAAAAAGGGAGAGGGGGCAGGAAGGTGCCTTTTATGACCTACCCTATGAAGTCAGGGCTGTCACTTCTGCATGTCCTATTAGACAAAAGACAGTCACTAAGCCCGACCCACATTCAAGAAAAGGGGAATTAAGACTCCACCTCTTCCAGAAGAGTATCACTAAATTCGTGAACATACCTTAAAACCATCATACCTAAATTCGCTAATTTTTTTAACATCTTGCCATTTTGCTTTAACCGCTCCTCACATATACATACGTTATTTCCTAACCGTTAATGCATCACATCCCCTCACTCCTTAACATTCCACGTACTTTAGAAAAAAGGATATTCTCTTATATAAACACGGTGCAGCTTTCACAATCAAACTTAACATCGTGATACTTTAACCCGCAATTACCCTGTCTAGCAATTTTCCCCTATTAAATTGATTTTTAAACAATATGGTAAGGCAGGTAGTGGGCTACAAAGCGTGACACAGGTGATGAAAGTTTTTATAGACGAGGAATAAAGGAAAGGTGCTGGGACAAGAGAGCTGCTGGTAACAGGTAGGCTTCGGTTGAGCTCTAGGCTTCGCCGACCCCCGACCCCGACCCCAGCCCCGAGTCCCCAGCTCCAAGCCCCGGAAGAACCAAAGACTATGAGAACTCAGCATATCTTTTCTCCTTCAGTTACCCACTATTTCTGGAAAGCTATTTCAGCTGTTTCCCTCGGTTCCGGTCTCGGTCAGAACACAGCTGGAGGCAGCCCTAAACAGTAGAGGACGGCTGGTTAAAACCCCAGCGCAACCATCTATCAGCCGTACTTCCAAGGGCAGGTAACTTTCAGATAACTTACACCTCCTCTGTCGAGGGGCGCTAGAACGGCCCCTGCCGCCCAGGGCTGCCGCGAGGACCGAGCGAGCTGGCGAACCGAGAGCGCAGGGCTCCCCCCACCGGC